TAGGGAAAAAGAAAATCACACATAAATTTATGTTGATTCACTTTCCCCATAAAAGTTACATCTAATCTTCTGTAATCAACCACAAATTACAAGACATTCGCTATAAACAAAAGAGTAATTATAGAGTAATCTAGCCAAATCAATCCTAGATCATATGCATTCCTATTACCACCTAATAGAATCCTTTGGCTAAGATTATTAAAAAACACTATAACTTTTATGTAATCGATTACTTTGTCTTGTAATCGGTTACAAAAAAGGATTTTGGTTTTTCTAGACTTTGTAAAACATATTGTAATCAATTACTTTGTTACATAATTAGTTACAACATAGAGTTTTTCTCTCATTTTAAAAAATAATACTTAGAATGCATTTGTTTCAATTAATGTTTTTCTATTTTTAGGAATGTAAAGGTGAGAATATCTATTCTTATATTTGTTAGGTTATAAAATGATATTTTTGAGTATATTTTAATCCTATGAATGTAAAACTTTCACATTTGACATGCTTCTCATTCTCATAATGAATGATGGGTATTCGATATTTCCATGGGAATGAAAGTTACTTTTTTCTAATAACTACCTCTTTTCACTTATTATTTCATATTTTTTAATTAAATATTTTTTTAAATTAATAATGTTAACTAAATGCGTTTAAGAGATAACATTTACAAGTATAACATTCCTAAGTATAAAATTCCTAAGAATACAAACATTATACCTCAAAACAAATGCTACCTCGTGTAATAATTGATTATTTCTTTGTGTAATCAATTACAACATAGACTTACTCTTTTCTCTTTAAAAACTGAAAGTCATTTTGAAACCATTTTTTGGCTTCATTGATTTTACTTGTGAAAACATGTTTTTTCTTTTAACTTGTTTATTTTTAGTTTCTTGTGTTAGAAACTTTTTAGTTATTATGGACTTGATTCATATGACTCTACTTAAATAATTCTAAGCATGAGCACTAAATTATTACATTCACGACTTGAAGTTTAGCTCTTCATGTGAGAAGTCAAAACATTTTTCATGTCTTCAATATCTTCAAATACCCTTATCCATCTTCTTTTAAATGTAACAACTTTATATTAAAATAATGGCAATACATGTCATGTATATGATGGTGTCATTCTAACAACACGTCGAAGTTATATTTTTAGGTATTAAGAAAGTCAGAAAAAATTAGAAAAATTTAAATGATAAGCCATTGAAAAAACATGAAATATGAAATACATTTATATTGCTTCATGAGATTAATTTAATAATCATTCAAAGATTTTTAATGTACAAAAGTATTGAAAAATAAAATAAAATATACTTCATAATTTTATATCTATCGATAAAGGTACCAAGTGAATTTTTATTACAAAATTAAAGACATTACTAGATAAATTCAAATACAAAATAAATTTCTATCGAGGATAAAATTCACTTATTGACATCTCATTGATAGAGAATGGTATAGAATTATTGGCAGATTGGCTAGAACTTGATTCATGTGCAACTACTTTTGGATTCATTTTACTACGTAAAATAAACGCTGGTTTTAGTGGAGATGGCAATTCAATCGAGTGATTGCTAAGATATGAAACAATTTCTAACATTGTAGGTCTCGCATCTGGATTTTCTTGAACACATAATAAACCAATCTGAATGCATTTAACGACTTCCATTTTGCAATAATTTTCTCTCAACTTTGGGTCCAATATGTTCAATGGTGTTTGGTCCATCCATTGTCTCCAAACCTATAACAATTTGTAAAGTTAGTCAAAACAACTTTTTTTTGGACCATAATAATAAAATAACTAATTTGTCATGAATAATAATAAAAATATATATTTTTTGTAAGATAATGCACTTACCAAACTTAAAAGACCATCAGCAACATTGTATAATTCATATGAACCGGCATTCTTTTGTCCAGTAATAATCTCTAAAACCATAACTCCAAAACTATAAATATCCGATTTCTCAGAAAATTGTCCAAGCATTGCATATTCTGGAGACATATACCCACTGCAAGAATAGAAATAAAAACAATTGAAAATAAGTTTAAATGTATCATATAAAGGATAAAAATAGATGTGAGTGAGTATTAATTCAAAACTTACTACGTTCCAATAATTCTGTTTGTATTTCCTTCTTGTTGATCTATTTCAACAATTCTAGCAAGACCAAAATCTGAAATCTTTGGATTCATATTTTCATCTAATAATATGTTACTAGGTTTAAGATCACGATGTATAACTTTAAGTCGAGAATATTCATGTAAATAAAGAATTCCTCGAGCAATCCCTCCTATAATGTTGTGACGCTTAGACCAACTGAATTCTTTTTGCAGCTCATGAGTATCTACAAGAAACTTTTAGCAAGTGAGAAAATTAAGCTATGCATATTTTGTAATCCATCACTTGATCTATTTTTTTTTATGAGATTACATGGGTATGGCTTGATCTAATTTAGGATCTAATGCATTAAACATCATGAATAAATAATTTATGAATCTTAAACTTTAAAATATAAAGAAGGGTTAAAAACATCAAACCAAATAAGAAGTAGTTCAGACTCTTGTTTGACACGTATTCATAGATAAGTATTTTTTCTTCCTCATCTAGGCAAAATCCAATGAATTCCACGAGATTTCGATGTTGAAGTCTTGCTATTAATAAAACTTCATTTTTAAACTCTGCTGCACCTTGTCTAGAAGTTCTTGAAAGCTTTTTTACTGCAATATGTCTTCCATCAATAAGAAAGCCCTATAAATATAAATAATTATCTATATATGTAGAAAATAAGACCAATGTAAACAATAAAATTTTATCATATTTTCTTTTACCTTGTAAACTTCTCCGAATCCACCCTTACCAATCTTGTTCTCATATGAAAAATTATTGGTTGCTGCTTTGATTATAGTCAAATCAAATTGCAGTGGCTCTACAATATTACTTTCATCTCCAACTAGACGAAAAAGCTTCCATCGTTAAACTAATTAGCAAAAATATCTATGCATATTATGTAACAAAATTTCTTTTATTATTCCAAACTTACAATTTTCTTTGAGAATGGCTTTGCAATGCTTTGCTTTTCTTCGTATCAAGTAGGAGGCAAAAGAGAACATTATCACTGAAATGATAACGGTGGGAACGACAATGATCAAGATAATTGTTCGTGACGAACTTTTTCTTTCTACATTGAGAAAATAATAATGTCATTGAAATAGCCAGTTGATACGTAGCAAGAAGATAAATTAAAGTGGATTAATTCTAATATTAGTTATGGGCTTATGGCCTCGTGACAGAAAAAGAAAGTTAAATGTATAGATGTTTAAGTTATATATAAAATTAAAAAATGAAATATTGCACATAAAAAGTATAATTAATACTCTAACAATCTATGTAAAAGGCGGAAACAACAATAATCTTTAATTGGTGATCAACATCATTCATCATTATCAGCTATCAGGTTATGACATCTGTTTGTTCATGTAATACTATTATAACTAAAAAAGGTAAGCACTTTGTAAATATATTGAAACTAATTAATATTTTTAAGGCTTCAGATAAAGGCTATCTGCTAGGGATGGCAGGTGCCGTGGCCTGCAGGTCGGCCCGTTGGACCGTCAAAAATTAGTAGGTTGGGTTCATCATTTTAACCCATCAACTCGTCAAGTCTGTCCTGCTAAGCCTGACAACCCGCAGGACCAAATAGCAGGCTGACCCGCTACAACCTGTCGATTCGCATATATATTTTTTAATTTAATTATTTTTATGTTTATTTTATTTTAATGTAGAAGATGAGGATGAAGATGATCAAGAAAAAAAGTAGAGACAACTTCTTTCAAGAGAGCTTCTAATATTCTTAAAATAAAAATTCAAAGTTAATTAATTGTATTTGAACTTGTTTTGTGGACTATCAAAAAATTTAGTTTATAAATAATTTGTAAGTTTATAATTTGATTTTAATTTTGGTGTAAGTGGACTAATTTTTATTTGATTTTGTTCTAAGTTTGTAATTTACTTTTGTTGAACATATATTATATACAATATGTATGCATTTTTAATTTCATATGGTTATATTTATTTATTTGTAGCAAAAAAATTTTATTTGAACATAAAATATATATATTTTTCATTTTTTATTTTGTACGGGTTAGCCCACCATTCCGTCAGCCCATCCTTAGACAGCATCCCCAACCCATTTTACATTGGCGGGCTGACCCGACCCAACCTGTTTTTGGTGGGCCGGACTAGCCCGTTTTATCATCCTTACTATCTACACTTGCATGCATGTTGAAACAAAACTATGTTTATATCGAGTTTTTTATTTTATTTTTTTTATGCGCCGTGAATATAACAATCTTTACACCGTTTTATTTATTTATTAATTTTCTTGTTAGCAACAATCTTTACAATCTTGCAAAGAATACTCTTTAAAACTTCCTTATAAATGCTTAAAATTTTCGGTCTAAGATTCATAGTTAATAAAATAATTCTACATAGCAATTCTTGTAAAATTCTTTTACAAATATATATAATTTAAATAAGTCAAAAAATTGTATAATTATGTTAAAATCATATAATTATAATATTTAAAAGACTAAAATTGTATAATTATAACACTAAAAGAATTAAAAAGATTAAACCTTATATATATATATATAATATTATTTATTTGAAAAAAATACTTCTGAGTCTAAGTCTCTCAAATTTTTATCATACTTTTAATTACACAATTCACTATCACTAAAGAAGTTGAATAATATAATTGATACTATTAAATTTTTTCTATTTCATAATTTTTTTTACCACCTCTATTATTAAATAAACTTTTACTCTACCTATTTGAATATATCTTTTTGTTTGTTACCAATATATATATATATATATATAATATATTTTGTACTTTTTAAATATTTAATTTAAATAAATAAATATATATATATATATATGTTTAAATATTAAACCAAACTTGTATATGTAAAAAAATATTAATAAATAAATAAATTTCCTGCTTGGAATTCAGCTCCTTGGAGACTGAATTTCGACAGGAAACAGTAGAGCGGTCTATTTACGTAAATAAAAATAAAAGAGGTTCATTTGAGGATTTTTTCTTTTTAAAAGTATTTTTGCTGTAAAAAATTACGACTAATAATAAAATTATATTGTGTATAATTTTGCATATTATGTGTATATTGTATATATGTATAGTGTATGTATGTGTTTTCCATTAGATTTATGATTTTAGTCTAACTGAGATAAAATATTTTAACTTTTTTATATCGTATTCATATAACTACTGCATGTATATTCATGTGACTATCGCATGATAGTCATAGTTTAATTATCAATGTTTTATTTTTTGTTGAGTAATAATTAAACTATAATAAGTGTAATAATCTACTTTTTAAATATTATTTTAAAAAATATTTACATTTTTTAAATATTATTATTTTAATATTCTAAATATTAAATAATTTAAAAATTATGTAAATTTTGATATATATAATTTTAAGAAAAATATCACATAATTTAATAATTGAATTAATTAAATTTGTATTATACAAAAATTTATTGAAAATATAAATTTTAATTTTAATTTTTAAACTTACACTTATATTAATGGATTTCAATTCTCTTTCTCTCTAGATATATATTATTTACTCCTTTGCACCCCTCATTTTAAATATTTTTTCTTCCATATTTAAAAGAAAAAAAAAAGTAAAAAAAAAAAAACAAAAACTTACATCCATGTTATTTTTTTTCCTTTTATTTCTCTTCTCTCTTTCACACCCATGTTATTGTCTTTAAAAAAAATGATGATAATAAAAAAACATTGATAGTGCGAAAATACGTTGATACCTGGATGGTGCGTGATAATTTGCGGGTGTGGCGGGGCCAGAGGCAGTTTATAAAAAAAATCATAGGGTTCAAACCTGAGAACACAGCTTGGATACAAAAGCCTTCCACGAGCATCCCCCAAACGACGCCAAGGAATCGTCGTTCCAATCATATCACTCAAACACCCCCCACACTCACTGCTAGACAAATCCCTCGTGCACTGAGCCACAATGTACAACTTTTGCTCATTGTTCAAACTCAGCGTCTCCGACCGGTACCTCTCGCCGCTGTCCCCTGTCAGGTTCGCCATATCCGCCAACTTATTCGACAGCGCAACCGTTAACTCCATCATCGCTGTCTCCACTACATCCTTCGCCGACTCCTTCACATCCTTAAACATCGGACTCCTCTCCACTCTCGACAAAATATCCCGACACGCGTAACGAACCAAGCAGTAGTCGTACCAAATTATACCCTCCTCCGATAAACCACACGCGGAGAGGACTGCATGCGACGCGTTTTTAACGCACTCTCCGCAAACCGCGCGTGGCAAGTCGCCGCGGCACATGAAGAGACCGTATAGCGTTCCCATGCGCATTTGGAACTCAACGCCGTTGCTGGCGTTGGAGGTTAGGGCAGAGAGGAGGGATTTGAGATTTGAATTGAAGGTGGTGTTGTCGACGACGCCGTTTTGGTTGTTGGAGCAGTTGTGAGAGATGTATCCTGATTGTGGTAATGATTCTGAAAACTGATGAAACTCGATTGTGGGAATGATTCCGTCTTCTGTCAACGAGCCGTCGCGGTAGAAAGGGTAGAGTTCGTATCTAACGTCGCAGCTTGGAAACAAAACTCTCCCTCCTTGCTTTCCTTCGCAGCATGCAGGAAGCTTCTTCACCGCGTCCGAGAGACACGTGGCGCAATCTCCACGCCCCAGGTCCTGCGTGCACTGCGCCATGCAGTACAGCGTCTGGGTTTGGGACACGCTCTTGTGCGTCGCCGCGTAGAGGTTCCCCTGGGCGGAGTTGGCGGCTTCCGCGGCGGTTTTCTTCATGGCGGCGGAGACGAGGCGGTTGAAGGTGGCTTCGTTGGTGGAGACGTTGGCGATGTTGAAGCCGAAGAAGGCGGGTTCGGTGGCGATTGTGGAGAAGAAGGTGGCGTTGGAGAAGCGTAGCATGCAGTCGTCGTACCAGATTACGCCCTTTTTGGAGTGGGAGCATTCGGGGTGGGAGGAGAGTTTGGTGGTGGCGTTTTGGACGCAGTGCGCGCAGAGGGGAGGGACCATGTCGCCCCTGCACATGAAGAGGCCGAAGACGGTGTTTTCGACTGTGTCGTTGTGGAAGGTGGTGCCGGCGGCGGCATTGCTGGCTAGTGTGGCCAGAAGGGTTTTGAGGTTTGATAGGTAGGTGGTGTTGGTGGTGTTGTCTTCGCAGTATAGGTACATGGAGGGAGGGTCCTGTGCCTTGGTAGTGGTTGTAGAGTTGATGAAACTGAGGAAGATGAAGAGGAACACGAGGTTGAAGGAATTAGAAGCCATGGTGACACTAGATTAATCTTGTTCGAATTCGTAGTACTTTGTTGCTAATCTAACCAAAATCTTCGAACAATTATAGGTGTTCTATTTTAATGAATGAGTTGAAAGTTTTAGATGCATGAACTGTTGGAGTAAATTAATATCGAAAAAAAATTTGATCTCATATCTAAACAACTAAATAGTGTATAATTAAACAACAATTATTATTTATAAGTTAATTTTATAGAGTTAAATTAGACTTAAATTTATTATTTTAAAATAGTATTAGAGTTATCCAAAATTTTTAAAAATGATCACTTATCTTAAATTATTAAAAAAGAATTATTCACTGAATAAACAATTAAATAATATAAGTGAAAAATAATTTCTTATATTGATTTTGTACGATTTAATTAGGTGGGAGTGGAGGTGGATCACTACTCTTGTCTTTTTCTTTTTTTCCCGAGAGATTAATTGCTAATACTACTATGTAAGTCATACTGTACTGTCTGGCATTTAGGAGTGTTCTATTTTAATGAATGAGTTAGAAGTTATACTACTTTGATGAATTTGTGCACGATTACGCTACGGTGATAAAATAGAGGCTATTAAATTCTCCTCTTCGTTTTATGCATGTTTTTCTCCTTTTTGTCACGAAAGGTATGGATTAAGGTAAATATAGGCGAGTCACATCAATAAATAATCCCGTTTGAGTTAGACTTCCTAATACGAGACTATAGCTTGTTAAAAATGAAAACGCGTTGTTTCAGTGTTTCCACAGAAGTGTAGAGATTCGCTGTTATAATAAGAAGACGCGTAGTAATATGTTTTTAGTCAACTTATTTATAATTTATAATAATAATAATAATAAATATAAATAAGTAAAAGACTATTTATTTACTCGTATAATTTAAAACTATTCCTTTTGTTTTATATTATAAGAAGAAAAAAAAAATTCTTTTAAATATAATCAAATTAAATTACTTTTGTATTATTTAATGATATTTTTTAAAAATATTTTTTTTAATGTATAATTTTTTAATTATATTATTTCTTTTGATATTTGTAATAAAGATAATTTAAGAAGAATCTTATAAAAAATAATAAAATTTAATATAAATAATTAACTTTTTAATATGTATAAAATCAGTTATTTTTATTTATAATACAAAATAGCGAGATCAGTAGTTACGGGATGAAAATATGTAAATTTTAACCTATATATGTTTGTTAATGATTCCTATCCTTGCATTTTTGTTACCGATCTCAACGCATAGCACACGTGATAACGACGTGGTCAAAATATGAAAAAGATAGTGTAAGTTTTATTCTTTTATTAATACAAAGTTATCTTTATTAATTGTTACATCTTTTAAAAAAAAAATTGGTAGAATTTTTGTATCGAAAAGGTTTTGGGATTGAGATGTTGTCAACTTTGTTTGCGGGAAAATACTTGAAAGATCTAAATAGTAATTTGTATGTCTGAAAACTGTTTGACTTGGCTAAGACCCTCATCGCAATCATTATAAGGAGTAATATTTGGTCAATACATGATAATAAAAACTCTTAAATACACTTATAAATATACATACATTAAATTTTTGTAAAGTACGTAACATATACACAATACACTTAATTACTCTAATTACTTAATTACTAATTTTGGTACCAAAGCTTCTTTTGCAAGTATAAACCACCTGACATTTGGATGCTGAGGATCGAGAAGTTGATGACAAATGAACTTAAGACTTCCTGATGGAACTTCCAATGAAGAATGACAGTTGAATCTTTCTTTGTAGCTCCTTGAACCCACTTGAATCTTCTTTGATGCTATTCTAATGGATTTGACCGAACAAAGATGGAAGAAGAGAATGTGATGGGCGTGCAAATGCTTATAGGGAAGGATAGTAGGAGATAAACATTTTTATTTTCTTTTAAAATTAAATTAAATTACTATAATATCATCTATACAAATTAACCAAATCAAAAGAAATAAATGATTTTTTTGTCATAAAATTTTGGTGTAGGGTGCTAACATACTCCAACTAAAAAATAGGTGGGAATATATGTTAGCAATCCCATATATATATATATATATATAGGGAGCATATCAAGTGAGAAGAATTTATTATGAGAAGGTGAGAAGGTTAAAATATAACCCTTAGATTAACTTTCTCTCACTTGATTAAATCCCAAATTTTCTCTCATTTGATTAATCTAAGGGTTATATTTTAACCTTCTCACCTTCTTATATATATATATATATATATATATATAATATTATGATAAATCATATGTGTATAGTTTTGGAATTATAATTCTTGATTATTAATGGAAAAAAGAATATAAGCTCATATGAACCAAATCATGTTTTTGATAGCCTTCTAAAGTTTGAGTGCAATAATTTTGCAATACTCTTATTTTATTACTACTCATGCTCAATGTACAATTAAATGAATCTAAAAGTTGGAAAGTGTGGTGATTTGGCTAAGCTTTTAAATTGTTATAGGTTTCGAGACATTGGAAGGATGAGATGTACCATTGAACACATTGGACCCAAAATTAAAAGAATATTATTCTAACATTAAAGTCATCAAATGAATTCAAATTAGTTTATTATGTGTTCAAGAAAATCCAATTGCTAGGCCTACAATGATAACAATTGTCTCATATGACATATCTAAGTGGTCACTCAATTGAGTTGTCATCTCTACAAGAACAAACATTTTTCTTGAACCAAAGAATGTCCAATTATTGTACATGCATCAAGTTCAAGACAATCTATTAATCGTTTTATACCATCCTATATTAATGAAGTATCTATAAGTGAATTTTATCCTTGATAATTTATTTTAAAATATCATTGGCTATTCATGTTTTCATGTATTATAAAATGCTATTTGGAACTTAATTACGTTGTAGAGGTCAAATTATAAAGTACATTTTATTTTTTTGATTTTCTAGTAAGGCTTTTGGTTTTAATTTATAGAGTTTCAACTTCATATCTTCATTAGTTAGGAGTTCATGTATTAGAGGAGGGATTGATATCCTATTTTAGTGGTGGATCCAATAAGCATGTATGGCATGAAAGCAATTAAGGTTAATTTAGTATGGTTAAGTCATTTAAACTGCTCAGGTGTATTAAGAGATCTCCCTAGATGAATACGAGATAACGCATTAATTAAGATATATGCATATGATGTGTGTTTGATTGGTGTGTTCAGGTTCATTGGATGAATATTCTATCATATAATATTACTTGGTGTGAGTTTGACTGCTTGGTGTGAAGCTTTCAAATAGGTTGATTGTTGTATAATTTCAATTGTTGTTGTTTGTTGGTTTACATGTAGGTGAATATTTGATTAGTTGGTTGTTGAAGTTTTAAAATATGTTGATTGCAGTATGGATGTTTTTTTCCTATACTTGCATTGTTTTTGAAATTTAGTTTACCTTGTATATTTTCATGTAGATTAACTACGATGATCATTCTTGATATGAGAGTAGAGCAGGATAGGTCTATAGTGGAGGCCATCAGGTGGATGGTAGTACCTTTGGACGTTTTGTGCTACTTTCTGTTGTAATTAGAGGAAAAATCTTCCTAATTAGAGAAAATATCTATAGAATCTTCTAGGATATTTTTCAGAATATTTTTCCTTATTTCCTTTATTTTATAAGATTAGATTGTTACAAATAGGTATAAGGAAAATGTAAAATGTATGAATAATAATAATAAAAATATTATTCTCCTTTTCAAGTTGGTATCAGAGCTCCCGATTTTGGGAGCTCTGTTTCCGCTGCAAACAGTAGCCACGCCCGGCCACTGCGGCTGTCGCCGTAGCCGTTGAGGTCGTTGATAGGGCAGAAAGGTGCGCCCAACTCCGGTGAACATAACGCTAGAATTCGCTCCGGGAAATACGCCGCCACGAGCCGCCACTGTTGCCGGCGTGTGTAGCCCACGGGCCTAGCTCCGGCGAGACCCACTCGCTGCCGCCACAAAAAGAGTCGCCGGAGCCTCCTGAGTCCATTCCACGGGTCGGTGATGTCCCATTTGGCGCAGATTTGAGTAGATTTGAGTTTTTAGTTTTGTTCCTTTTCCAGTGACGTCCCACGCGCCTAGCTCCGATGAGACCCACTCGTTGCTGCTGTCACAGAACTGGTTGTCGGAGCCTCCTAAGTCCGTTCCACGGCCCACTCATCGTTGTCGCCATAGACAGAGTCGCCGAATCAATCCATTAAATTACCACCATCAGATTTTTTGAGATGAAAGCTTTTAAAGAGGAACTAGATCATTTGAAAGGAATGATTGAATCAATAAGCAAGTCCTCTGGACCATGTACTCTGTCCATGAAAGGTAAGAGTTCTCTCCATACTGTGGGTCTTGTATCTCAAGGTATTTGGATTCTTGATTCAGGAGCAACTGATCATATGACACCTTTTCGTATGATCTTCAAATCATATATTCAAAGGAATAGAGAACAATTTATTACAGTTGCGAATGGTCAAGGTGTACCCATATGCGGCTCTGGGAATATAATTTTGGAATCATCTATTGTATTAAAGGATGTTTTACATGTTCCACAATTAGCCAATAATCTAATCTTTGTGCAAAAGCTCACAAAAGATTTACATTGTTCAATAACATTTTTCTCAACTCATTGTGTTTTTCAGGACCTTGCTACGGGGAAGACGATTTTAACTGCTAAAGAGCAGAGTGGGTTGTATTTGTTGGAATCTGATGACAAAAACAAAACAAAAATCATGAGCACTACAAGAAAAATGACTTATGCCTACACACAAAAAATGTCACTAAAAATCTAAATTCCATAGGTAAAGGTATCATGGACTTTGACCTACGGACATTGAAGTTGTCAACTTTGAGAGGGCATATAGGGACAACTAATAGCCTATCACTATAAGTTTTACCTACAGACATAATTTTACCAACAATTACATTTGACTGTCACTATAGGAGATACCTACAATTTGCAATATGCGTGGGTAAAAGTCATTGACTTATATTTCAC